AGGTTAACCTTGAATATAATTAGCTCCAAAACTTAGCTATTAAACGATTATTACTGATTAGCACGATCATTTATTCTGTGTCTGGTTACGAGTATAAATTATAATTAATCTAAAATGTATTTGAATTCGGAAATATATAAGTATGTTTATCGGCAGTCCGGTTACCATACCACAGCCTGGCTTGGGATCAGACGACCGCTGTGTGTGAAGTGTGTAAGGTTACTATAGCTAGTTCACCCTGCAAGGCACTGCAGACTAGAATTTTATTTCTGACTATATTTGTTTTTTCTTCTGAAACATCCACATGGATGTACGAGTATAAGAACAACCAGCTGTCGCAGGTGATCACAGGAAAAGGATCAAGTGTCTTCACTGCGATGGCCGGACCGTGCGCACGGCGCTCCACACGCCGGCAAAATGCTCGGCATGGGTTGGGCAGAGGCGTGAACTCTTGGCAGATTATGCTTTCGCTTAGTACCATGATTACAGCCATGGTGAGGAGCGAGAGCGCATGGAGCTCTGCCGTCTACTTTTGTGAGCTAGTTATACTTGCGAAGGTTACGGCGGAGCGGGACCGGAAAATGTTTAGAACTGGCCAGGAACTGCAGACGACTCAAGCACTGGAGGTCGCAGAATGACTTCCCTCCTTTATAAGGCCTGGGGTGACAGGCGAGGCCGGATTTCCTTCCTAGGGTACATACACCTGGTTCCTCGGCTACTGGTACCCGAGACGGCGTGCGGGTTTTATTCGGTTCTAGTCCGACATAACCACCAGTAGGTGGTATCCGACGGGATTTCCGCACAGAAAACAGGTGTGATTTAATAACCTGCAAAAACCTTTACTTTACCTTTTTAGCACTATAGGCATTTGATCGGTATTTTTGTGACAATATTTCCCGTTTTTGTGATGTTTTCCGTCTGATTTTGGCGTCATCAACGCGTAACTTCGAGACTAACGGGTTATTTCATCGCATTTCAGTGACTATTTTCATTCGTTGTGAGTGAGTTACCGAATCAATCAATTATGAACCTTAACTGAAATGTAAAATTAACGAACAGAATATTCAGATCAAGCAACTAAACCACCTAACATAAAGTTCTCGAAACTAAAAGTATTGAGAGCGACGGCTTTCATACGAGACTCACAGGAATAAGAAAGTTACATACTCGTAGTTGCATTTGAAAGTTTATAATTTTGAATACGTGTCTACAATGCACGCGCCATATATTTTGAAGCTGTCTGCAAATAACTGGGTCGGGCAAACTTATTTCAGTGCTTTTCCAGAGTGTGAGAGAGAGACGGGTGTACTAAGTAAGCGAACAGTTGAACAGAGCTGCTGTGACTTTAAATACATTCATATTTACGAGTATTTTCACGCCTATATTAGAGGTAGAGTAGGTAAAGGCTATATTAACACATTTTATGGACTCTTAATTGGTCCCATTAACGTAGTAGAGAGCTCATCCTCTTTGTTTTCGTTCTAATATAGTCACAATTATCGTATCTCTAATAAACTGTACCCCCTCCTCCTCAACAGCCTTTAATAACCCACTGCTCTGCTGCTGCTCTTTCTAAAGACAGGCGTATGACTTGTCCTTAGAAAAGAAGTTTTGGCCTACTATTCGACGTTGGCCATACGGGTTGATATAGGGTTTGTTTCAAGTTTTGCTTCTCTTTGTGGTGGTGTTGTCCTGCGTAGTTTGCTCCCTTAGTTGACTCCTATGACACCCAAGGGGTAGTGACACTCTGTATTCATAATCCATCGTCACACCAAAACTGTACAATTTACGGTATATAGGTGTTACCTATTATCGTTAAATAGAAGGTAAAAGGAAAGATAGATAGAATAGAATAAGGGAATGCTATATAAAGGAGGCGCTTGTATCTTGAACTGGTTGTAGCCTGATAGACCGAGCTCTCTAACTCTTCAAATATTTAAAGAGTCAGATAAAGAGTTCAAATGTTATGAGTTCATCAAGACATCAACAGCCTTTAATATCCACTGCTGGACATAGGCCTCTCCTTAAAAAAGAGGTTTTGGCCTACTATACCACACTGGGTTGCGTTGGGTTTGTGTCTGAGGGTCGTGACCAAAAAAGCGGTGAGCTGTAGCGGCGTGCTGTTGGCGGTGTCATTCATTTCAATTCAAACGCAAATTCTAACGCATTCAATAGTCTGCCATTAATCTGCTTCAGGGAAGCACTCCACTATCATGGGGTGCCAAAGTAGGTGAGATGGCTAGTGGCAGACTATTTAGAGGAGCGTAGGACCGAGCTGGTAATCCGAGATGTCAGCCCATGTCGTGTGGTGTTAGACAGCGGTCTGTTCTTGGACCCGTCCTGTGGAACATAGGGTACGACTGCGCCCTTTGAGCTGATTATCCCACCGGGCTCGGTGTAATTTGTTACGCCGATGAAATTTTGGTCACAGCCCGGGGGGCGAAATTTCAAGAGGCGATGCGCCTGGCCACCTGGGGTGTCTCTCTGGTGGTCGGGCGCATTAAGGCGCTGGGCTTTTGGGTGGCCCTGGATAAGACGGCGTCCCTCTTGTTTCATGGGTCGTGGTCCTCCCCCTGGCGCCTCAATCGTTGTCAAGTCGGTTCTCGTACCGGTTCAGGCCCAGATGAAGTATCAAGGCTGGCTCCTCGACGGCAGCTGACTCTTTGACGAGCTCTTTCGACAGCAAAGCTGGCCAGTGCTGCGTCTGCCCTTTGGCGACTTTTGCCTAATCTGGGCGGACTCAGCGTCGCGGGTGGACGGGACGCGTTTTTCCCTCGACTCCCATAACGGCCAGTCGCAAGGAGACAACGTCCGCGTGTGCCGGACGTTGCCTAAATAGAGAATGTACGCGAAGGTGGTGGAAGGGGTCCGCATGGCTTAATAATAGTGGTTCTCGGATCCCTCCAATTATAAGCGCAGAGTGGCACATCGTGTGGTTTTAGTCGGTCCGATTTAGACACACCACTACGCCATAAACCCCGGTGGGGTGACGGCTCGAGAGGGGTTTGTGTCAAGTTTTTTCTTTCTGCAGTGCTGTGCAGTCTTGCGTAGTTTGCTCCTTAGTCCACTTTTAGGATGACCCACTGGATGGATGGGGTGGTGACATTCAGTATTCTTAATCCACTACCACACGGATAACGGTTATAATATTAGTCCTAACTAATAATGTGAATGTGTGTTTGTCATATTGTTAAATGTTATGTCAGTGATTTTTATCTTTTATTTACAATATTACAAATATTAGTTTTAGTAACCCTACATTTTTTATAATTAATTTGTTTATTTTATAATTTAAAAATCATTCATAAATCGTCATTCATTTAGATATCATATAATCGTTTTCTTTAAGATCAATACTGTTTTTTCATTTACTGGCAAGGTCATATACCTGATTCTGAATTAACTACACCATTACGTGACAAAACCAAAAAGTTAATTTAAAATCAATTACTAAATTCCACCCGACTGATAGTTCATATGCCGGAGTGAAATTTCGTACAATGTCAACCTTCGAGCTCTACAGAAAGTTAATTTCAAATCAATTATACAAATTCCACCAATAGACCTACACGTAGCTAGTAAATAGATCGTAGTTAGAACGATACAAACGATGTTTTCCGCCTTTCAGTTTTTACTTGCCTATTTTGTTAATTAGGTCATGGCCACCATTGACCTTGCTATCTATTCAACATTTATAGATTTCTAAGAAATAGTTTAGTGTATGTATAAATAGTCAAATTCAAAACCGCAATAGATTTTTCATTTTTATTTAGTATTCATTAATGAACTTTAGGTCTAAAGTGTTTTACTTTCTTTTAAAAGTACGAGTAAGTAATTTACTTATAATGGGGTGGGTTACAATCAAAAGACAGAGGCGTATAATATTAAACGCTTTTGAAGTTGGTAAAAAAATATTTGTTCTTTTTTTTCTCAACGCTATCATAAAATAAAATAGTAACGATCGAATTTTGTATCTAAGGGCTTTTTTATTTAAGTATATGTGTTAGTTATTTAACTAAGCAGCAGTTCTGTCCTGCCCTTCAGAACATCATCATTTTCTTTTAACTTTCCTCAAAGAGCTGATAAAAATTCAATAAGCTATCCTATTTATTATTTAAAATACGATACTATGCTAAACCTTGAAACCAGGCTGTGCTACCCTTTTTTTTGGGGAACCAGGTAGACCCTAGAAAGAAAGTCCCTGGTGCTCCGACATAGACTGTGCTACCCTAACGATGTCCAGTAGTCATTGATAGTCAGTATACACGTGCTACCTGTTATGTATTTGATTTTTTCTTTTATTTATTTTTTTCTGTGTGGGATAATTAAAGCTGACATTTTAAAAATTTGAAAAAAGACAGGTATTAATCCTCTTTTCTAAGAACTCTATACCGTTGGTGGTTGTGCTGTTGTAAGTGCCATTGAATCTATGTTTTTACATAATAAGTTTTGTTAAAAAGTATTTAAAATAAATTTATAAAATGCTTAATATTTATTAAATAAGTAATCGTAAACATCCTCTCGATCCACTAGTAGTTCCTAAGGTTTGTTAGAACATACCTGCATATACGTATTTACAAGTGAACCACTTGGTCAAAAGTTATTGGTTAAATTTTATATAAATAATTACGTAAACAAAATAATAACGACTTCTCAAAATCAACTAATAATCCTATATGGTGATAGATTCTGTTTGGGTGAAACGCGCGACGTCGTAAAATTTTGATGACACTGTATTAGTGCCTCAATCTAAGTAAGGTACTCTAAACACTAGGACCTTGTCTACAAACTCTTAATAATGAGCCAGATTTTTTTTCATTGGGTTTGCAATAAGAAATATACTTAAAATTAACAACCTCTGCGACAATTCTGTATTGTGACGATAACAAGGACAACGAGTAGTAATGTTACGTGTGCCAGTCTGTCTATCACGTTTATTTACACGTGACAATCTCGTCCCCAAGTGAGACAGAATTGTCAACTTTTCGTAAGGTGCAAAATCAAAGCATACAATCGATAGGTAAGTAGTGTGTGTTGTGGTGCGTGGGCGGTGTGCGGTGTGGTGCCGGTGCACGCGGCTGCAGGCCGGAGGCCGAAGGCTCGGCGGCGTTGTGCGGCCTGTCAGCGCGGTGCGGGCGTGCGCGCGCATCGGCGGCGGCGGCAGGCGCGGGCGGTGCGCGGGTCAGTGGCGTGCAGCGCGCGCCGCGGACGCCCGCACCGCAGTGTCGAGCAGGAGCCCGCCATGCCCGGCCCGCGCCTATCCCGCGCAGCCTGACAGCATGGCCTACCCGACCGCCACCATCACACGCAGCCACGCTCTGACGACGGTACGCATCATCGTGTGAACGTATTTACTATACGAGGTCGTCCCTCGCATCGCGCCATCGCGCTTTCTATCGCCACACACCTCGTTATTTCCGATCAGTGACAGTGTTACCGGAGTCTGGATAGCCAGTGAGGGTCGGTCAACGCAGAGGTTTCGTCTCGATTCGATCGTCCGCAGACCGAAAGGAGTAGGCACGAGTGGTCGCCGCGCGCCACGCTAGATGGCGCCGGAGGTCGCTCCTGCGGCGAGCACTCTCCGCCCGCTCCCCGCTGTCACCGTCGCCGCCTTTTGTTTCGCGCCGTTCATGTACATAAAATAATAATTGGCAGGCCGGTGGTGAACACCGCCGCTCGGCGCCGAGCCGTCGCTGACGTCAGCGGAGCCCGGGCTCGCGCCTTAGCCGAAAGCCCGGCTTCCCCGACCTTCCGCCACCGCCGTCTACAACTCGCTCGACACACGACACTGACACGTCAAGTTCTACACTAACCCTCCGCCCCTCTTACGTGCCAAACCCGTTGCAAAACGAGACGTTAACGTTCAATCGACTGAATTTTGAAAACGTTTACAAAATATTTCAAATTTTTAATATAACTATAGTATAAAACAAAATTCGCGCCGGGTACAAGCGACATAATAGTCATGAGACATCGAAAATGTGTAGGTTTCATTCATGTAACCTATAACGGTTGGAAATTGATCTGCACCTAGCAACAATCGTGGCGGCGAGGGCAACCATCTTTTCGATTCTTTACTCTAATGTTCGGTGAATTTATTATAAAAATGGCAAGAATAGAAGCAATATATAGACGTGGATTCATTTAGTTAAAGGAGTGCGGTGGGTGCTGAGCGACGCGCCGCGCCCATGCCCCTAAGTCTGGTGAGTGGTAGATTATAAGGCTTCTTGCCGTGCCATTTTCACGAGGAATACCGCGTACGTGTTGTTATCGTCTATAAGCCAATAACTATATTGCTACCAAACCAAAATGGATGTTATTTTATTGTATTTATATTATTAAATGCGGCAGTTTATCATTCAATTTACTCTTTTATGTATTTTAAATTAAAGCTAATAATAACAATTACCCCCGATTCAGTTGTAACCGAGATTATCATAATACTATTATATCTTTACAAGAAGTTGTTTTTTTAAACAGTGACCAATTTTAACACAACAACGATAAGTAATAATATATATTGCATACACTAAATGCCTTATTGACGACTTAATATTTTTCTTATAGGAAGTTTACATTACACAATTAACATATTCATAGAAAATTTACAAAACCTTAACTTACTTTTAATTGACCTAAACCATATTTGAATACATAATTATGAAAACCAAATTCAGTAATATGTAGTCAATACTGAGCAAAAGATGGCGTTGAAGCGAAGTAAGAAAGCGTTCCCTCGGAGCTTTAGACACTGGAACAAAATATTATCATTCGTTTTTCAAATTTACTTTATATTTTTTTAATATTGTTAATTAAAGCACAACAATATTCCAACAGTGAACAAATTTACCCAATATAAAACACAACATTATTTTGTACTTTGTTTTCATTATGAATTGTATGTATTAAGGGTCAATTCAATCAAAATCAAGCTTGTTATGTGATATATAGTTCAAATAAACATGGCAAAGTATTCTAATTTACGTTACTTTTTAAATAGTATTGCAGGTAACATTACAATTACATTTACAGCTAAAAAATGTTCGTTATAAACATTGACAAAAAGATATTTTGTTCTTGAAACAGCATGAAACAAAGATAAACCCTGAATTGACTGTTCTGCAAATTTTTTTTTTTTTGCATGCAATTAACAATTATATTCATCTTAAACAACAAAATATCGTCAAACTTGAAAGATTCGAATATTTAACTGCACAGTATAAAATTTATTTACCTAATCAAAACGAAAGCGTGTGTATATTTCTAAAGATGTTATTAAATCCTGAAACAGAGAAAAATGTGTTAAGCAACGAGATAAACGGAGAACAAGAACGAAGTTATGTAATGAATTTCGGAAATGTGTGTCTATGTAAAGGACATTGGCTAGTTCACTGACATCAAGCGCAAGTGGGCTTGCTTTGACCCCGCATTGGATTCGTGTAAACCGACTACCAATCGATTTCTTTCGTTTATTCTAATGTAACTTGATTGATAGCGGTATCTTTTCGTAATTATTTCTTCAAGTTTTGAACTCATTTAAAGGTACTGAATTAAATTTTCAGAAGATAAAATTAGTAGTAACGTAAATTCTGATACAATATCTTTATAGACCACCTGAAAAAATTTAATACTAACTGTAATGCATGTTATTCTACTCCCCGATAATAACCTTTTTCTCTTAACTTTCGCGTTTCACGATATAATTGTAATAATTTTTTTTTCGACCTGACCGAAATTTTCCTTAATTTTTTTTATGACACCGTGTGCATATCCGACAGATTTCAAAACTTTTGTGAACAAGAAGCGGTAGAACGCGCAAACCTATTGTGAAGCAACCTGCCGCTTTTTTTTTTATATTCTACTTAAGTACTTTTCTAAACAGCGTTTCTACAGATTCACTCTATAGTATTTCAAAACAAAGATTTAAAAAAGATCTAGGTTTTTTGGACGGTAAAATGATTATTTTAAATCTCTCGAAAATTTAAACCTAAACTATTTTACAACATTGTTTTCTTCAGTCATGTCTAGGAAACTTATTTAACAAGAACAAAAACAAGTTTTAAGTCCATTAATCGCTATGAATATTAAGAACTCAATATGTATTTAGATGCACAATCTAAACAATAAGAAATCAAATTTCAGTTATCACTGGAATTAGAACACGATGCAGCTTATAGAAATTGGGTCAGCCGAATACGAGTATACCATTATGTGCTGACTTTGCCTAAGGTGAGCTCTCAGTTTACATCCATCAATAATATATATTATTTCAACTAAGTAGGATCGTTTGCTATACCAATTCACGAGTTTGAGCTAGAAAATATGAGACCATCAAACATTCGTTGAGTTGCAGATAAAAAATTTCGAAAATTTTTGTCTGTTATGACACTAGACTGATTTAAAAAAATCTTTCATCATTGGAAAACTACATTTTTATCGCAATAACCGATATACACGCGGGCAGAACCGAGGAGAAAAAATAGTATAAAATATTTACATTAAAAGATTTGAAAATATTATGTTAAACATTCAATTGAACAACTGTTTGAATAGTTTATACTTCTATGTGTATTTTTATTTTCATGTTAAATATTCACTCAAAGCATTATTATTTCGAAATTGTTTGTTACAGAGTTGGTATTTAATTATCCAATCTTTCAACAACATTTATTGCTAAAATAAAAATTTGGGAACCGTGCAAGAGATCTCGTTTTACATTGACGTTGAATTAGATTTTTGATTTTCATAAAAGAATTTTTAACCGACTTAAATGCAAGCTTAAATTAATTGTTGTTTATTGTACAACCTGTAAGCAAAAAAAATTAAACAATGTCATATACCATTTTTTGCAAACGATAGACTTACTGCTGGAAATAGAACAATTGCTATAATATGTTTAAAGCTATAGTTGGTGATAATGCTTTATTTAACGTGTGATGACACAAAGTTTTCCTAGAAAGCTATGCAATATCTTTTATGGTGAACAATGACGAAAAAGCAAACCTCTAGCGAATTCAATGACTCATTCTACTGAAAACAACTACAGAAAATTCGTAACACCATTTTAGCCGCAGGTTAATTATTATCTTTTATATAAGCCACTAATGTTTTACGGGCTACGTATTTGTATCGTAAATGTTAATTTCACAGTAAATACTTTGAAATAGAAAAATATGCCAAAAAAAATATATCTATCAAATAGAAATAATAGTGAAAAAAGTTTAATCTCTCTAAAGTTAACGAAATTTGTAACTGCAAAAAAAAACCTTATTAGATAAGTACAACATGCTGTACCCGGCCACGCTTCGCTATGGCAGTTTATGGTTGCAAAAAATTGATTAAAACCATCTTTGAAGCGTGTTGTATATCGTGTCAACATTTGAGCTCAATCGGTGCAAAACTTTTTAAGTTCTTTAAGCGTATACAAACCAACTTAACATTTACATATCTAAATGTAGATTATTTATGTATTCACTGAAGACACAAGATAATATTTTAACATTTATTTGTAACCTATTAAGGATAATATTACTCGTAAGAATAGCGTAACCATTTTCCATGTTCGACTAATGTGATTCAAGTTAGCTCACTTACACATGTATGGACATTTAACGCTCCATCTAACATGGAGGACGATAGTTTTATTAGTATACATAAATACGTGAGGAGAATTCTTTTTACGCATTCTCAAGCAAGCGCGCATATACGAGTATGTTTAAGGATGTGAAATTTAGAATGTTAAAGTTTGTAAGTAGCAAAAGTACAGAAAGCCAACGTTAAAGGTACAAAATATTTCAAAAAGCGTTATATAAAGCTATAGATGTTCAGTATACATTTGAGATGTCACGATATAAAAGTGTATACTATGTTGCAGTCATATTGGTCAATGAAATACAATTAGAAGTCCAACATGGTCGAAAATCGGCCGCCAAACAATCTGTAGTTCGTATAAATATATAGGTCTATTTACATATCCTCGATTTAGGTCAAGATACAGGTGTAGTCATGCAAAAATATATCTATTCGATTTCAAAGTTATCGTTATAAAAACCCAACAAAAATAATCTTTGACCTGGAATTGCAAATAAAGTACTGTTTATCATGAAAAGTAAATATTAACGCTACTCCTCAAGGAATAAAGACTATTATTTTCAAGATCACTGACATCCAAACTCAATAGCTAGTATTACTTATCATTTGTAGGTATAACAGCAGAATCCACTATCACCTAATAACCACATGACTGCGAAAGTTCAATCACTTATAGAAGATTGTATCGTAAATAAAAAATATTGAATGTGGTGAATACTCGTAGATTGAAAATGTGCTGTTACTTTTAGGTGAAAATACCTTTCGTCACTGTAAAATTTCCGGTACCTCTTGAATGTATAGTAGGTACTTAGTAACAAAATTATTTGGTTTAACAACAATAACAGAGCCGTATATGTAGTACCTTAACAGGACTTTCTAGTGAGTTCAGTCAGGATAATTTTATTAAAGTTATTGTAGATGCGTTTGAAACTCATTGTGACAGTATATACTAGTAAAAGTTTTTCTTTTTTAATTCTTTCTTTCTTTTCTTTTTTCTTTTTTAAAAAGACAACTCCCACATTAGGAATATATCCTGTGTCGCAGGAGATTTTACAAACATACATAAAACGGACACACAGAACACCCAGACTCAGAACAACAATTTGTGGATCACACAAAGTGTAGGCCCATGTGGGCATCGGACCCACAACACTCAGCGCAGTAATAAGCGGCGTGGCGACCGCTTAAACTACTACGCCATCCGAGCAGTCATTATATTGTTTACATTAATGGAAAATTTTATTTTTTATATGTGTCTAATTGATCACTTATGTGATAAAACATTACATCTAGTACCCAGAAACTAAAATGGCTACTTCAATAGCTATTCAAATGAAACAAAAACCCTCTTCTCAATTTATTTAATGATAAAGATTATGGAATATTCCTTGCCCTTGATACTCCCGGTATTTTATCATAATAACATAATAACCTTTACACACCTCAAACACGGCAGTCTGATCACAAACAACGCAGCCCATTCCCACGGTAAACAAACAAATGCAGAAGTATTATAACATGGCAAAACCCCAACGTATATTGGGCAATCGACGCAATTGCAGGATGCGACCCATCACTGCGAGTTCCGCTACTGAGTGTTAAACTGTTGTCGGTATGTTTGTTGCATTAGCTATGCCAATTGTTGTACTTATCAACCTATGTCACTGCTGCGGGTCGTACTCTATTATACCGCATGTATCCTTCCTCATTGCAACCAGATTTTTTGAAATGTGATTGGTTGGTTGTTGTTTGCGCATTCGAATTGATTAATTATTTATTTCTCAACATTAGTTTAGATAACTCGTTTTGCACTAAGTTAATCAAAGTATTAGAGGCTCATAGTATGTG